GGAGGTTGATTTCTATTACCGAGTGAGGGGCCCTCCGCTATCACAGTCGGGCACGCGCAAATTGAAGACAGGCCCGGCTGACCCTACGGGCCCTGTTTCATCCGCGACTGGCTTCTTCCGAAACCTGTTCAGAGGGAAGACCAAGGAGAAAGGAAAAGGCTTTGAAGTCGTCCGGAGTGCTAGGGCACCACCGCCGGGTCTATTCCCAGAAGGCGAGGATTTCCATGAACCCTATACTGATGAACCCGAGGACCCGGAGGCCGCAGACCATGCCCGCCAAGATTTGGATAGTGACCGTGACTACGATGATTCCGAAGGCGAGCCCCATGAACGGACTCCAGAGATCGCAATCACCCTACCGAACGTTGATACAGGGGGTGCTATCGAGCTCCCTAGTCGTGTAGGCTCTCACTCTAGCTCTCAACCACCATCGACCGGGCGACAGAACATTCAGCAAGAAGGCGCTACTACCGGCCCCTCAGCGGAAGAGGCGCCAGTGTCGGGTGAACTTCTTCCTGTTGTCGCCCCGGAAGAAACGACCACTTCCAATCAACCTGAAGAAAGTACTAATGCTCACTCTCACAATCACCTTCACCCCTCAGCTTCCGTGACTGGCCGGTTGCCGTTCAGTGCAGCCAGTTCTCCCTCACGAGATCGTAACCTCTCAATTGCCTCGACGACCGCTTCAACTACGTCCAGCCGTCGGCATGGGAACTCGGAGAACCTGCGCATCGAGCGTCCATCTAGCATGGGCTATGTTGCCCAGTTTCGTACACAGGATAACATCCATGAAGCCAGCCCGGATGAGCCATCATTTGCAGGCAGTGCTGCGGAACTGGTAACTGAAGCACATCACCACGAGGGAGACCACTAAAGCGACAATTGGGAGCAGTCTGTTTACCCTATCCTCTGCACTCCCTCCTCCCCTTTCACGAATCTCTTTCTTATTCTCTGTTACCTTCCAAAATCATCATGCGTCGGAGTTTGTGATATACGCTTGGGTCTCCTCACATATGCATCAGTATCTTACGGCAATCTGCTGGTTAGCGTTTTTCTGCTTTCCTCGCCACCCTTTTTTTCTCCAGCGTCCCGGATTTCTGCCCTCTTATCCAGTCGCGAGCTTACATTGCGAGCAGTATTGGTGAAATTGTGCTAGCCGACGGCCCTGATTTAGGTCCTGATCTGTTCCTTGCAAGCATATGGGTCGCATCTTGTATATCTTGTAGTCCTCATTTTCCCTTTCATGTACGGAATCTTCGGTAATAGCTGAGTTTAATTATAGTGAGCGAAGTTTGGAGGATGGGCCTGTGTGATAATACTGCTGGATTACCTTTACCTATTGAGTATACTTGAACATACTATGCACCATGACTGTTGTCCAGTCCAACCATGATTGGGTTAGACGCAGATCTGCCAGAAAGATTAAGTGATAAGGGAGGGAGAGTTCCTTGGCAGAATCAGGCCATGTGCATTTGGTTGTTTCGATGGCCCTTCTTACAATTTAACATGAGCGTGCCCAGAGCCACCTGATGTCGTCTGATCACGATGCCTGTGGAAAGAAAAGTAGTTTGAGTACTCTACATGTAACAGCGTAGAAGAAAAGCAAAGTGAGGAAGCAAAGTAGCAACAACTACAGGAGGTAATCATCAAAACAGTGTTGTGACCGCCTTTTTTGCCCCGCGGCGAAACATCGGGTGGGACCCGAACCAGACCTTCGAAGTTACGGCATCTCCACCTTATGATTTATCCCTCTTTCTCTCCCTGTGGCCCAAACTCCCCCATGATTCACTCCCTCTCCTATTCCCTTTCCTCTCTCATTTGAACATTTGAATGCCTTAGACTACTAGTCACTTGCTGTGGCTGTGGATCGGCTGCACGCTTTGTCTGGCTCAAGCTTCTTCTTCTTCTTCTTCTCTTGGATTCCTGTTCGTTCCGAACAGATGGTCTGTCACGAGACCTTACTGCATGCGCTCTTATCATTAAGTTAATCCTTGACGCCCGAAGTCCGACCCCCCCGAGTTGCCCTGTGTCGTTTCGCGCAAAGTCAAAGTCAAAGGCCCTTGGCTCCGTGTGACTTGTATCAATTCATCTCCTTGCTCAACAATCCTCTTTTTAAGGTTCTCAATTTACACTCTGGCACACAAGCATATCCACGGTTGTCTACCGCTGTTGATCATCTCCCCGTCCGGCTGCCCTCCCCATCCTGGCATCACCGCGCCACCCAGTCAATGACGGCCCGTCCTCCAAACGGCGGAGACTAGTCTCCTCTTCGGTCTCAGGGACCCAGATACCAAAGACTTTACCATCGTCGACCTCTCCCTCGTCCTTCAGGTTCATGTCGTCGTTGTCAAATTCGGCCAGTCCTTCATCCTCCGCTTCCTCCTCCACCGCCGCGTTCCCCGCCACTCGGCCCGCCACTGCTCTCAGGCCTCATGCGAGTTCGGAAATTTTACAGGCCACCGAGGCTGCACGCGATCAGCGCTCCGAGCGAAGACGGTCCACCGTCACAGGGTCAGATCGGAAGAGAAGGATAGTCAGTTTGGAGGGGGACGTCTGGCCCCGTGGCCTCGGATCCCAGTCGTGGACAACAGAAGCCGGTCCGAGTAGCCAAGCAGGAACAATGGATAGCAGGTCGTTGCCTCAACGATCGTCTCAGTCACAACATCCTGCCATGATGATGCCTGGCTCTTCCTTTGCTACTCCATTCGATCTGTCCTCCTCACCGCCGGGTGCGCGCCCGAATGATCCTCGGCGAAGTTCATGGTCCCGAACCCAGGATAACTACGTGGAATATGTTCGACCGCGGTGGCAGCCTGATGCGGAGGTCACCAACTGTCCGATTTGTGGGACCGCGTTCAGTTTCTGGTACAGGAAGCATCACTGCCGGAAATGTGGCCGGGTTGTTTGCGCGTCATGCTCACCCCATCGGATCACTATTCCACGGCAGTTCATTGTGCGCGATTCCACCCGCTCCCCCGCAGCCGCTTTGGTTTATCCCCGTGCTGCTTCGGCCTTCCATTCCGGAGGGGACGATGCGGTTCACTCGCCAACAACATTAAATCCAGCTCTCGGCGGGGGCGAGGAAGTGAGACTATGCAACCCCTGTGTGCCAGACCCAAATCCAGAACCGCCTCGTGGGTTCACAACAGTTCAGAATCCGGGAAGACCAGGCACCGCCGCTGCGACAGGCTGGGGAGAAGAATCCTCGTACTTCCCTCCTCCCAGTTCTCGGCATCGTTCTTACCATTCGCTGTCCTCTCCAACCCGGCCAAGTCTATACAATAGTCTACCAGTGAGTTACAGTCAAGCGCCAGATGGTGAGAAGATCAATTGTGGTTAACACAATTATGTGCAGCTCCAAACTGAACCTCTCGGGTCGCGACCAACCCGGCAGACCGTTGGCGTCAGCGATTATTCAAGTTTAGGTGGATTCGGAGGACCTTTTGCCCCGCGAGTCCCCGGAATGAATTACGCTGCATTGGCAAGCCCCCGCTTCACATCTGGGTCGGTGAGCTCATCCACACGGCCTCTCCCTTATCCGACCGCTGGCAGCGCCAGCTCGTTGCCCGCGTTCCCTCACGCTCATCGGCCGTCGCATACACGCCCGCCGCATGTCCGTGAGCAGGACCTATGTCCGATCTGTGACTGTGAGCTTCCGCTTCTGGGATCGAATGGGGGCGAAGATGCACGGGAAGCACACATTCGGACATGTATCGAAACTCATGGTCGGCCCGGGCGCTCTAGTCCTCAGAGCGGCAGCCCCGTCCAGCCCCATCTTGCAGTCCGGCTAGTCACCTTCAAAGCCACGGAGAAAGACTGCGTTGGACACGATGGTGGGCTGCAGGAGTGCACGATTTGCATGGAAGAGTACGAAGTGGGTCAGCCGCTCGTGCGGCTGGAGTGTCTGTGCAAGTTTCATAAACGATGTATAGTGGAGTGGTTCGAGCGTAAGAAGGAGTGCCCAGTGCATAAAGTCTCCTGAGTATTGGACTTGGTTCTGGAGTCCACTCTTGCTCTTGGGTGGAGCAGAGTCCATCGCGGCTGGTCTTCCGCATCTTATATGTCGGATTATGTCTTACTTTCTGCTCTTTATATGGGAGGGTGGATCAACTGCTTTTGTGTCGTTTGAGCCGGTGTTCTTTGCTATACTGTTGCAATCTTCATCCTTTTCATTGTGGTTCAACTGCTGTCTCTGTTGGTGTTCAACGAGCTGGCAGGATTGGATTTGTTGCTATCTTGCAACCTAGATCGGAATACAATCATTTCTTGTGTGTAGTAGAAGAGTAACTATCATAGAAGAGAGGAAGCCAGAGAAACGATATATCTGTACTTATTCACTTGGTTGTGGTCCATTAATTATCCTTCTGGGGAGAAAGTGTTGGAAGCTATGCGGATTTGGGCGATGAATCCAAGAGTGACTGACTGCAGTGGCTTCCCCTCAACTCCTCTTTCGCTTCCTTCATTCTCTCTTTGGTCATCCTCCTTGTTCTTACAACTCCCACTCGTTTGTCTTCTCTTGCTTCTTTTCTGTTATCCTAACCACTTTCCTATGAGCCAGAACTAACCAGATCATAATTCACTTTGAGTCCGGGACAAGCCACCGAAACCACCGACATTACTGCCACCACTACCACCACTACCACCACCGCATTCCTCAAGGTACCGTCGGCCATCGGCTCCCGACCGTCCGATTCTCCGACTTGCGCGACTCCAACTCCGCCCTGCCTTGCCTGGCTCCTTGCATTCTTTCTTTCTTTCTTTCTTTCTTTCTTTTCTCTCCTGCGGCCCCAGACTGTTGCTCGGGTAAGCCTCAAAAATCAAGTTGCAATCGTGGCAGACCAGCCCAATTTCCCCCGTTGATTCCGAGAGAAACGCGACCGGGATGACCTCAACTGGCCATCCGCCCTTGGCCCATGGCGGGCGATGATGACTGACTCCCCGGCGAATAGAGCCTGGCTGACCATGATGTGATATCCACTCCGCAGTCTCCGCGCTCCCCGATGGAGATCGATCCACGCCTACATGCAGATAGCAGAGACGGCGGACGTCCGACCGAGCGCGCCGAAACCCGGCCGCCGCCCTATCTACCACCCCCCTCGTCTAGACATGGCAACAACCCGCTTGTCGCTTCCAGAGATTATCCCGATTCGACTCCACATCTGTCCCCTACCGACCGGCTGCATTCCGTGCTGGCAGCACCTCGAGGCCCGGGACCTCTTTCGAGTCCCCAGGTGATCCAACCGGGTAACCAACACCGGTCGGATTCGACATCGGGCATCGACGCCTTATCCAACCCCTCCGTCGTCGACCCCAGTGACCCATACGCAGAGCTGAAGCGGCCCCGCGCCTGCGAAGCGTGCAGGCAGTTAAAAGTGCGATGCGAGCCGGACATCAGCCATGCCAACGGCGCCTGCAAACGATGCACGAAAGCCGGGAGAACTTGTATCGTGACGGTTCCCAGTCGCAAACGACAGAAGAAGACGGATAATCGCGTCGCGGAGCTCGAGAGGAAGATCGATGCGCTCACCGCGAGCCTTCAGGCGTCTCACGATCGTGATCCCGTGCTGCAGCCAGTGCAGATGCCTCCCCCGCGCGAGGAGCCGGCAGCGCGGCATTGGCTGGCCCCGACTCATGCCGCATCCCATGAGCCGTCGCCTTTGCCGGTGGGATCGCCGCAGAGCATGGTGGGGAGAAAACGGCGTCATAGTGGGGAGGACAAAGAAGCCACGCCCGCAACCTCTCGGGTGTCTAGTCCGAGCGAAGAACAATCCCTCTACAGCAAAGCGACCCGACAATGGCGTGCTCTAGGTTACCCGTCGGACTCGACGGCAAAAGAGGGGGCCAACGAAGTGGCTGATATAATTGACCGGGGCCTTGTGAGTGCCGATATAGCGGCAGAAGCATTTGCGCGATTCAACGAAGAGATGGCCCTCTTAATCCCGATGGTGGTCTTCCCTCACGGGACGAAGATGGAGGACGTCCGGCAGAAGAAGCCAGTGCTATTCCATGCAGTTATCGCTGTTGCCGTAGGGACGATTCAACCACGGGCTCAAATCCCTCTCGTCAATGATTTCTATAAAGTCATCGCGGAACGGGTTGTCGTCAAAGGGGAGAAATCTCTTGAGCTAGTCCAGGCGCTCTTGGTCTGCTGTAACTGGTACACGCCTCCCGACAACTTCGAGGAACTGAAGTTCTATCAATTGACGCATATGGCTGTCACCCTGGCTATGGATGTGGGTCTGTATCGTAAATCAATGCCGCGAGGGAAGCAGATGAATCTGCTCAAATGCATTATAGCGAGAAAGTCATCTGAGGTCCTGGATCCGGACTCTCCGGAGACGAGGCGAACCTGGTTGGCATGCTATTTCGTTGCAGTTCAGTATGTACTTCTCATTCTCCCAGGAGTAGCTAGCTAACCTATGGTCTAGGGTTGCCGTGTCTCTTCGACGAGTCAATCTTGTGCGATGGCTTCCATACATGGATGAATGCATTGAGATCCTAGAGAAATCACCAGATGCATTACCTTCCGATAAAACGATGGTCCGGTGGGCCAAGCTAGCACAAATCATCGAAGAGATATACGTTCAATTCGCGAGCGATGACATTCCTTCGGTTGTGTCATTTTCGGACCCGAAGTCCATCTACACTCTCAAGGCGCTCGAGAAGCAGTTGGAGCAGTGGAAGAGGGAAGCGTTACCGGAGCATTCTTCTCGTAAGCAGTCACCCACACCTAGTTCATGTTCTTGTGCTCATCAGGGGGATCAGCTATCATTCAACAAGCATACTGCATTGTCAACCTCTACCTGCACGAAAACGCCATGCATGTTGATTATAGCAAGGACGAGGCGCGGACTACCGGCGATGATGTTGCTGGTCCTACCAGCGCAACACATATCAGTGCCCTCAGCTCCTGTCTCACTGCTATCCACGAAGCCCTCGATACAATCTGTGCGATTGACACTAAAAAGCTAGTGTCCGCACCGACGGTCACTCTTGCGCGCACGTCTTTTGCCGTCGTCGCGCTAATCAAACTCTACGCCATGGTCTTCACGCCGGAGACCCGCCTGGATCAAGTAATGGATGCGGGCAGCCTCAAGATGGAATACTACCTCGACAAAGTCATTCGCCATTATACGGTCGCCGGAGAGCTCCCCGGCGGACGGACTGCAGCCAAGTTCGGAGTGGTGCTCTTTATGCTCCGCAACTGGTTCATGAAGCGCAAAGACCAGGGCCCAGTGTTGAAGGAAGCGCTCTCGGTATGCCGCGCTTCGTCGGATTGTCAAAGCCACCCCGACGACAAAGGCCAAGTAAGTCCGCCAGGTCATAAATAAGCCCTCTTCATCAAAACCTGTTTTCTGCTGCATGAACACCACTACTAACACCCCACAGAAGAACCATAGCAGCTCCAGCCAGACGCCCTTGCACCTTTTAAGTGAAGTAGCCATGGGCAATAGCTCACGAAGCCACTCCTCGCCCGAAAATCTGTCAACGGCAGGCGAACAACGACCCATCCCCTACCCGACAGCTCCCGGATTCAATAACAGCAACAGCAACAGCAACAGCAGCAATCATCCTACCGCCACGAACCACCCCTCCGTAACCTCCACCGACCTAACATCACACTCCCTAGGCCCCAGCCCCGGTAGCCTAGGAGCCCCAACCAGTGCAGCCGACTCAACCACCGAACCCTGGACCCCTTACGCCGCTCCCGCTCCCGCCCCCGCCCCCGCCCCCTCCCGGGATTACTACCCCATCTTCAGCTCCGGCATGTCCGACCTCCCCCCCAGCTACACCGACCCCACCAGCGGCGGTGGCGGTGGCGGGATGATGTTCCCGCCGCAGGGCTTCTTCGTGCCTGAACTAGGCGTCCAGATGGGGTTTGACCCGGAGAACCTGCTTACGCTGCACAGTATGATCGGCGACGGGTTCTTGAATCTTCCGTTGCCGGCTGACGATGGGATGGGCTTTTATTAGGGGTGAGGGAAGTATTTATACCTTATACCATATACCAAGTTATATACTGTTCGCCGTTTCTGCCCAAGGGAATGATTCCCAGTGTTCATAGGAATGTAATATGATATCCCTGCTCTTTGACTTTGCAGTCCACTTTTTGGGAGTGTTTCGGTGTGGTGATTCATTGTAGGCCTGCCTACATCTTGTTACGCTTGGGCGTTTCACCAAAGAAGGAAAGAAGGAAGGTACATGACTTTTCTGGAAGAGAGCGGTAGATTCCTGACCCGGGGTTGCGTAGATGGGTCTGCTAGTTACAGCTCGAAAAATGGATTTAAAAGGAGTACGGGCCCTCGGGCCACTCTCTGTACACAAGCCGAGCGAGCGAGCGAACGAACAGACAAACAAACGAAGGCGCAAGCAAAAGTCAACCAAAGCAAACTCAGTGAAGAACTATACCTCCATACCTACCTACCTATCCTACCCCGAACCATTTCAATTTTCGATATAGTCCACTCATGGTAACCGGGAAAAGAGATAACTACAAGATCCTCCTCAAAATATGGGAGTGGCCATCCCGATCCACGGCGCCAACCCTACCCCACCATCCAACGACGGTCCAATTCTAGCAAGCCCACATCCCCAGGATCATCCGTGTTCATTTGCATTTCCACATACACAAGAAAAAAAAGCAATCATTTTCTCTGGTTTGGGCATGCGCACAACGATATCATCACGTGCGTAGCGCAACCCTGATCGCTGCTGCGGTGATACTAACCATACCTACTCACGTTTTGCCACGGGCCTCGGAATCACATGATCGATCGGTCGATGGGCTTGTTTCGTTTGCGATGGGGGGGCTTTCGAGAGGTGACGGTTCGGTTTCGGTTTAATCCCTCACGCTGCATTTGGATTGGGAGGGAGGGATGGATCTCGGGATTGATTCCGGGCCTGGCTTGGAGGGATTTTTGGGATGGAAACTCTTACAATACATAAATTAGTGTTATCAAGCAGGGTGTCCGTGAACAGGCTGGATAGATCTGCTCAGACTGGGCTTGATGAAAGAAACCTTCGGACGCTTCTCTTGAGAATATGCCAGGCTAATTGCCGCGGGTAAAGCGCTGCCATTTATCCTGAAATTGGGGACCAGGGTGTTTTTGCCTGTCTACGTTCATGGTGCTCAGGGGTAGACGCTCGGGTGAATTACTTAGAATAGTATTGGTCGGGGTGGAGTTGACCGCATGGTGAAGTTGGTCTGTACTGGATTCTCTAATTTATTGCATTTTGCAATCGCTAGTTAGACATTAGTGCAGGAAGCCATACGTGTATGGTGATGCTTTCCCAGGACCGCTCGCGTGTACTTCAGGTCCTACAGGTTCTATGTTATAACAATCGAATAAACTTTCAGGCGAGCGTTGCATCCTTTTGCGGTCGCAGGAAATAAGAGATAGACGCATTATGCATTGTCTAATCTTGATATGGTTCGCTCGTTCTGCCAGTTGAAAGCCGCTGTGCATGTGCCTTTGAGGACCTGGTTGGATATTCTGTGATTTTCCACATGCAGCCAGCAAGAGGATCAATCCCTGGGCAAAGGATCCTTGCTCAGGTGGCAAAGGCACGTTAGGCTGGCCGGTGTATTGCTGGCCACCATGTGATGCCGAGGATAATTGCACCATAACAGGATTGACTCTCTGCAGCATAAGAACTGGAAATCCTCTGCTACAAGTCAACAGTCTGTTGGATCAGTTGGGCTTATGAGATTTAGACAATGGGACTGCGTCGAATGCAGCGAAAGCACTTATACCGAGGATTTTGATACCCTGGCCTCATCTCGCAGTATGCTGCCAATCTTGGCTGAGCTTTTGTACAACAAATGCCCAAGGCCACCCATTCTCAGCCTCGGTCCTGCGCAGAAGATCTAGTAGGCATGTCTGAGCCAACGGGTCACGGATCCAAATACCGCCTGCGAGTTGTGCTGTTAGCTACCGTCTCTGAGTAGGGAGCTTCACAGGTGACAACGATGGCATTGTCCAGGATATGCATGTCTTACAAGCGCAGAGTGTATGCCCTGCCATAATCCGCAGCGCTGGGTCGTTCTCTGCCGACAGAGCTATGCCAAATATGACTTCAAGATTGAGGATAATCTCGTCCTAGAGGATTATGAGCCAAGGTTCTATAATGGTGCTTTTGTAGGCTTCTATAACAAACCTCGATCATCTGGATGGCCTCTCGAACTTGCGGTGACGATTGTAAGGCCTGAAGTTCATGCTGCTGGAACAAGGCCTTTGCTATGGAGATGTGTTGTATCGCAGCAGCTAGACTTAGTATGTCAGCCCTAGAGCATAAGCGGGGAAGGCCTTGAATCATACCGTGCAGTGAATTGGTGAACCAAATGAACGGAAACGGCCTCCCACGTCCAGGATCTGGCCCCGAATAGTGTAAAGGCTTGAACGTATCTGGTCTTGTTGTTTCCCAGATGCCAACTCGCTGTCTCAAGGCACTCCCATCAATCGCTTCTATGTGCATTGAGTTGTTCGCCCCGTAGCAGTAGTTGATCGTCTCAGCGAGGAGCCAAATGGCCTTGTGCGTCCAGTCCCGGTCATCCTGAGTTGTCCTATGCTGCCATGCATGGTATAGCTTCTCTGCAAATGGGCTCAGAGTCAAACGCAAAGGTCTTTGATACATTAGAGCGAATTGTATATCCTGCATCACGAATACCCAGAAAGAGGCTTCTGCAAGTCCTCCAGATACGGCGCAGTCCAGTTGAGAGCTGATATATACGGATCCGGCGAGAAGGTGACTCTGGAGGTCGTTTGAAGGGCTGTGAGCTGTACATGGTATGTGAGCATGCAGTAAATAGAGCGCAACCAGCCCGGCTTACAGGATATTTGCTCGAAAAACCGCAATATTACGGTGGAGGTAAGGAGTATCTCGATGCTGGTGCCAAAGTCTCTGTTCTCCAGGACCGACTTGAGAATTCGGATGCAACGTTCATGGTATTCATCGGCAGACTCCGGAGGTACTGTATGATTCGTGTAGGAGAGGTGACGCGCTGAGATGGCAAGACACGCGTACAATAGGAGAGGGTGCGAAGGTGCTCGTTCGGCCACATCCACAGAAAAATGACTTTGGTCATCGCAAACGTCTAGCTAAAATTGCCGATTAGCTGAATTCCAGCGTAGTACAAGTGGGACAAGGTACAGCACCCAGGGACCGAGTGTCTTCCGGAAATATCGAAGGAGGAAAGCTTCATTGAAATTCCGCAGCTTCTGCGTGCTGGCGAAATCGGGAGACGGGAAGGCTATGAGCGGGAAACCCAGGCGCTGAGCTGAACGGGCTCGAGACGAGCCTGCGACTTTCGATGAATGAGGCGGATGCGAGGCTGATGATAAATGCTGTGCCCCGTTGGGCGATTGAGGAGAGTTTTCGGGCGCATGTTTCAGATCGAAGGGCGAACCATCGAGGGGCACCACGCGATAATCTGCCGCTGTCCGATCCGTCTCATCTTCGAAAGAAACTTCATGTGCCGTGCATCAGTGGAAAAGGCCTTCTTCATCCCCAGTAGGAACAAACCTTGAGTTGGAAACGGAACCCACACTTGATCGGTTGGAAACACGAGGTCGCTTTCTCCGTATCGCGGGGGACCGCTGGGTCGCAGCGAAGGATTCTGGCCATGGCGAAAAGTGACTTCTTCTTGTCTCGTAGGCGCAGGTATGCACTCTCGTCCCGATCGTCGACAGCGAAGGCACTGGTCCTCGGTCTTATCACCTGGTATCAACATTAGGGGACGTTGAGCTGGGGATTCCCCTCGACTGACAGAGCTCAGTCGAGAGGGGCTTGAGGACGATTTACATTTGATATGGCGCTGACGGCAGGTCAGACTAAACAGAGAGCAACAGGGTTAGAATGACGATTCGATAAACACAACATCAGAGCGTCGAAGAACAGCGCAAATATAACTTACCATCCCCTCATCACGTTGTGCTCGGATTCAGTGCTCGGGCTGACAATCGCGATAGCCCTGTAAAACAAGCCAGATCAATAGCCAGAAAAAGCCATTGGCATGAGGTATTAAAGATTAAAGAGTAAGAGCCGAACAGCAGCAGCAATAGTCCAGGCCTACTAAGATGCAGCTAGAAGGGTGACCGCCCCAGCAACAATGATTATGATGGGCAGAATAACGTTCAAACGGTTAATTACCCAACAGAGAATGGTTCGTGCGGAGCGGAGCTCGCCATGGCATGCAAAGTGCAAAAGCAAACTAAGAAGTGGAGGAAAGAGGCAAAAGGGTAAAAGAAAAAGCCCTATATAGATTGAAGATGAAGAGAGCAGATCCCACTTTTAGCGTGAACACTGGAGCCCAGCATCATACGGCTCCTGAGGTTCATTCAGGGGCACATCTCTAGACTACCTACTCGATGCCTTCTCACCAAGAGAGGGGAGATGACAGCCCACCGTGCTCTACCATCTTGCTTTCCTCGGTAGGTTTAGGATGACACAAGACAGAGCTGCAGCAGATGAAGCCATCCGTTGCCTATTCCTTAGTCTTGCTGTTCTCCGACAAGAGCAGGGCGATTGGCACAGCCGCGTCTGATCGTTGCCCAAAGCAGAAAATACTCGCAAGCTAACTTGGAAGGGCACCCGCACCGGAGCGTTTCGGTTCGAGCTAGTGAGCAACGTTTCGGCACTTTTGACTGCACCTTTCTTGTCCAGAAGTCCCGTTCTTCCTTTAGCCTTTGGGATGAAGGCTGGCTTTGCTTGCTGAAATAGGTATGGTCTGCTATCGCTCTAGGAGGGGGTCAACCTGACAGCAAGCCACGGGAGGTCTTGGTCGCGCTTATCGGCAGCGAGTCCCCAGCTTTGCCAATCTGCATTTTTTTCTCCGAACAATAGTCATCCGTCTCCCTTTTATCGGGCTTTTCACTGGGGATCCCACTGGCATCCAGCTAGCCGTCACGGTCCAGCTGTGACTAGCTATGTGATGTGATTGGTGAGTGGTGACATATTCCTGTGAGGTGCAACACTTGTTCACACAAGGCTGTGGCGTAATCTCTGTGATGCATCTCGCATGCGTGATGAATGGTTCATCCCTCTCAGAAATGTCGGGATGTTTGTTTGTCTCTGGTGTCAATTGAATGCCGCGCACAGAAGTACAGTACCTTTTTTTTCTCTTCGTCGGTGGCACTTCTCCGTGTTTGACGAATCAGGCGATTCGGAATGTTTCTCCTAAGCAGAATCATCTGCAGGAGGAATATGACAGACGGTTTTGTTCTTGCGCCATGGGAAGAGATGAGTAACTGGGTCTCTGGGTCAAAGTGACATGAGGGTTGGCAACACATTGCGGCAGGAACCTGTCTCGAGCGAGACATAGCGATGGTGATGGATGAACTGTGTAAACCCTGTGCAGGGACCTTAATGGTAGTGCTATGATGCTTGTGAGCTTCAGATATCAGCCGTGCAGAATAGTCGGCCGCATAAGGGGGCCAAAAGATAGGTGAGGTCAAGATGCTAACAGACAGAACCCTGATGCCGCTTGGCCTAGGCCAGATTCCATCCGAGTTAGGTTTGGGGTGTAAATCAACAATGGAGCCGAAAGCTACGCGAGCCAATTGACAGGTGGATCTTATTCCAGACCCATCGGAGGGTGACCGAATCTGGGCAAGTAGCAGCAGCAGTACAGAGTCGTAGCAGTAGCACGACTCAGTTTTGCGAGCGAGAGCAACTGAGGAAAGGGCTAGACCAGGAGAAAGGCTTGATCATGAGACAATCCAAGGAAAGTGTGCATTTGTGGCTGGCTTGCATTGCAGATAGGGCAGGCCATGCGAGTATAAGTGCAGATGAACAATGATGAAGGCGAAGGAGAAGAGATAGAAGCAGAGGAGGTAGAAGGGCTGAAGCGGGATGGAAATGGATATCGTACGACTGCCTACTTGGATGCAGCACTTCAAAAGGATGACTAACTGGAGTGTAGTTGACTGACTACTTAGTTAGTTTAGCAAAGTACTAACCAACGCAGTCAAGGCCATGGATGCGCACCTCAGGCAGGCAGGGCAGCTTCCTATTGGGGATATGCGGGGGCAAGCAAGTGGTAGTGGTAAAGTAGTGTCAGGTGATTTTTCTCTCCCACTATTTTTCTCCGCTTCGATTACCTCATTGCTGTAGCTGCTGCTGCAACTCCTGCCAACTTCACTTGACCTGCTGATATTCTCCTTGCAAAACAGCCATTGACCTTTTAAATTGGCCTGAACATCTCTGCCTCTTGTCCAGCAGTCCCATCCGCTTATCACCCACCGTTGCTTGGAGTCATAGCTGGCTGGGTCTACGGGCCGAAAACGGGTCGACTCCACCGTCAACCAGCCATCAATTCCACAGCCTGTCTCTGGCGATCGTGCACATCAGCTTGGCGATACTTCCGGATATTGGTATACAGTACTTCGAAATATATTCATTGATAGACGAAAAGCGCCCAAGAACGGGCTGTACTGAGGTGTCTTTGAGCAGGTACAGACTCGACGTCTTTCATCTGGTATGACACTGACTAACAAGGACAACCAACCAGCTAGAAATGTCTCTCAACCGCGTCTCCTACTTGGAGTCCTGGGAACAGAATCCAGCTGCATTCCGTCGCCAGCCCTATCAGGATGACTCCGATGACGAGGAAAGCTATCATGATCTACCGGAGCCCTCGGTGTCATCTTCATTCCAATCCAACATCAGTCGCCACTCTTTTAGACATCGATTGAATTTCAACCCGTATGCAGGACCAGCATGGGGACAGGCCACTGTGGATGAGGCTACCAGTGAGCAGAACCCACCTCTCCAAGCCGCCTCACCCAATATCAGTACGCTCAATGAGGTTGACAGAGAGGGGGCACCACCCGAGCAATCTGCGCCGAAGTTGCAGGAGTGGACCGGTGGCCGAGAGACCACGGGCGCGTTTGAGGTAAACCATGTCAAACGCATTGGTAAGTGCTAGACTTTTAAGAACGGCTTCAAAAGCCACCGTCGTATGCAGTGCAGTACTAATACACTCACAGCGCAGGTCTGCATAGCAGTGCTATACTGTCTACTTGCGGCGGGGATAGTCTTCGGGTTTGCGGCCATCAAGCCGGTCTTGATCAGAGAGGGTGTCTATCGGGACCGGTGTTCGCAAGAAGAGCTTGATAACAATTCCGACGTGTGCTACGGACAAGAGCTTCGGTACGCGCCTCAGACCATCCATTCCTTTTGGAAGACCTAACTAAAGTTGTCAACAGATTGAACTTGATGTTCACCATCGCTGCAGTCGCAACCAACGTCTTTGCTTTACCAGTAGGAACGATTCTCGATACATACGGTCCGCGCGTCTGCGGCATCATTGGCAGCGTCTCTCTTATGCTGGGCTCCTTGCTTTTTGGACTCTCCGACCGGCTTCCCTTTGACGGATACATGCCCGGGTACCTCTTCCTTTCTCTAGGTGGACCGTTTGTCTTCATCTCATCGTTCCATCTGTCAAACACCTTCCCGACCCGCTCGGGGCTCATTCTATCCACTTTGACAGGCGCATTCGATGCCTCCAGCGCCCTTTTCCTTATATTCCGGCTTATCAACGAGAGCACAACCGGCTGGTTCAGCTCGACCAGATTCTTCCTGCTCTATCTCATTGTCCCCATTTTCATCATCACTGCCCAGCTCACTATAATGCCGACGACCTCATATAAGACGGCCGGCGAACTTGTGCAGGAAGCGCAAGCTCACATCGCAGCCGAAGCCACGGACTACGTTGACAACGCCATCCAGGACCGCAATGAAGGCGAGCGCCAACGTAATGACCGTCGTATGCACCGACAGAACGTTGTCAGCCAAATTCAAGACCTTCTCTCTTCCCCCACCCTTCAACCACAGTCCTACGATGACATCTCCCCACTCGAACGCCCACTCTCTCCCGAACCCAACCCCATCCCCATCGCCACCACCGAGTCAACCACCACGCCCCAGTCTGACAAGCCCCACACCGCCGGCGGCGTTTGGGGCGCCCTTCATGGCGCCTCGGCGCTCACGCAGATCCGCACCCCCTGGTTCATCCTGATCACCCTCTTCACTATCCTGCAGATGCTCCGCATCAACTATTTTGTGGCCACGATCCGTCAACAGTACACCTACCTCCTCCAATCCCCGGACCTCGCCGCGACCCTCAACTCGACCTTCGACGTCCTCCTCCCGCTGGGCGGGCTCGTCTCCGTCCCCTTCATCGGCACCATCCTCGACTCCGCCCGCACCCCCTCGGTGCTACTCACCCTCGTCACGACCGCCACCCTGATCGGCATTCTGGGCTGCATCCCCACGGAGGGAGCCGGCTACGGTAACATCGCCCTCTTCGTCCTCTACCGCCCCTTCTACTACACCGCCGTCTCCGACTACGCCGCCAAGGTCTTCGGCTTCCAGACCTTCGGCAAGGTCTACGGCCTGGTCATCTGCCTCGCCGGCCTGGGCAACTTCGCGCAGGCCGGCCTCGACGCCCTGACCTTCACCGTCTTCGACCGCGACCCCACCCCTGTCAACGCCCTGCTGACCATCACCACCTTCCTGGTCGGGGTGGCCCTGGTCACCTTCGTCAGCTGGCAGGCCCGCCGGATGGCGGCTACCCGCGGGAAGGCCGGTGCTGCCGTTACGAATGGGACCACGGAGGTCGCCGAGAGTGGTCTCAGCGTTCCCGGCATCCATGACGGCGTGGACACAAGGGATTGGGGCCGCCAGCAGCAGCAGCAGCAGCAGCAGCAGCAGCAGCAGGGTGAACGCGAACCGCTGCTCCGACAAGGCAATGACACATCTGCTTCCTACGGGGGTACTAGACCCTGAAAATTGACGACCTCGACGATGATGTTTCATTTCACCTACTATGGTAAAGAGAAAAAAAAGAAAAAAACCACAGGCAGCTCTTTGTTCATCTATTTTTGGTTTCCCTCGCTTCGGTTTGGCCCGTTACAGAGTCACACAGCGTACATCTGCAGCATTAGTTCGACCCAGAGATGTAGTCTTAGCCGAGATTCTTATCGCTTTAAATTTGTACATGATTTGATAAAGAATGTATATCCAGCAGCATTACTAAGAATTACTCGGTCATCAAACTCCCGAGGGGATTCAAATTAGGTTGATTGAATATATCTATATATCACAGTTCCACGTGGGAAATAGAAAAGAAGAAGATTGAGATTCTGTCACAGCAATAGGGAGAGACATTTGGAAGAGATAAATAAAATAAAATAGAGATAAGGCGGCTGAAAGAAGTAGTGGTTATGTGAAAAAGAAGGGGTAAGAGGTCGATAGCAATGTTGCGCTGGAATGGTCTCTCTCTCTTTACGCGCTTATGCTTTTCGCCATGGTCGTTGGCTGCGTCGTAACCTTCGTAAAGTCGTATAATATACCTACAGTTCAGGATGGGGGTAGCAAGTGGAGGTTCTGTTTGTCCGGCTTCCTCCGCGTTCGGTGTGGATTTGGGAGGAAACGGTGTTCATGGTCAAAATCTCATATTGAGCCGATGAGAGCGGGCGGTGAACGAACTGATGGATGTGGGAGTGTAGGAGCCGGAGGAGAGGATCGTGGGATAGGTGTATGCTTTGAGGGAGTCCCCGTGATTCATGATGATGAAGGGCCGGACTGCTTCACTTCAAGCCACAGTTTGCGACCCCCGCGCTCACAGGCCCGGTCGTACCAGAGCATCACACGTAGGACCTTTCGTGCTTCATCCCAGGTGTGAATGCCATGGCTTCCGGCCACTTGACTGATGAGCTCAACATACCAGGCGCGTTCGGGCTGGTCTTCCGCAGCGATACCGCCGAGGATCAGCACCCAGAAGAGAGCGATACGAGCCTGTGGATGGTCCCAGGAGAAAGGTGCTTTGGAGATGTGCAAGGCTTCTTGAATGAGCTTGGCAAGTTGAGAGAGCGGTGCACTCTGGGCTTGGAGTGGTAGCACCACGCCGACACCGAAGATGAGACCGGCCAGCCGGCAAATCTCATACATGACCTCATGGGGTTGATAATTCGCAAAGCTGTCAAACTGGCTCACTGCAGGGAGAGAAAGCAGGTTGTAGTGCACCCGATTTCGTTGATCTGATAGCAGCGAATAGTCAGGGTTATGGTGCTGCGTTGTAACGTGGGCCTCAACAAGTTTGATATACGCCTGCATGCCGTAAAATACCTCCAGCATGTCCGATGTGAAGCCAATTTCCCGCAGAGGACCAAATCGACGTTCGACATCGATCATGCTGTAACCCAGCATTTCTTGCATTGTGAGACCTATCCGCTCTCTGCGCAAGGGCATGAAATCGAAGACAGGCGGCAAGAGGAACGTGCTGCAAGTGACTAGATCGGAGAAACACAGAGTAGGTGCGAGTCCGGGAAGAGTCAGGTTCTCAAGACCTCCACGCATGTTGACCATCTGAATTAGACCTCTGATATGCACAAGGTTAGGCGGAAGACTGCTATAGATGTCCAACCACTGCAGGCGTTGCATCGGAGCGGTGAAGGGCAGCTTTTGGCCCTTGATATGCTCGTTATTAGCAACGTTGTGTGCCATGCAAATGACACTCAGAATAACCGCATCGCACATTGCCCGCGTGGGATCGCTGACCTCCCGTGTCACATTCCGGATGGTTTCTGCCTCGCATAACTGCAGCATTTGCTGCTCGGAGGGTAGGAAAGCATGGTGCGGAATCGTGCCTTTCAGCCATTGGACTCTTTTGTGTGACAGTGAACCGAAGACAAACGCTGTGAACAAGGTCGGATCGGATAGCGATAGTGGAAACCAATTGGTGCTAGCCGGACTCGAGTCATTGCCGGGTGAAACGGGGGTGAGGCCGGGCCACAGGACCTCAAGGCCTATTATGAAGATGTTAGTTTGATGGACGTGTAGCTACTGCAAGACTCACGAACAATAATATTCAGAGGCGACAACTTCATTCTTCCCCATGTTCAACAGGTTCAAAGGATGTGTTTGGAACGGATCGAATTGACCCGCGCCGAAGGTATCAACATAGACCGGGGTGAGACATGAGAATGACGGAGTCGTTGTCAATGCTTGAGATACCTCATCCGACCCCGAAGAACCTTTTCGTGCATCTGACATCCCGGATCGCGACTCCTGCGGAGAAGGCCAAGGAAATTTGTCCGGATAGGATCGGGATCGCTCGACATCGTTCATTATATGATCCACCGGACTATGCGACGATGATCGGAGGAGTTGCTGATTGACAGGATTCGAGGACGTAAACTGGGCTGCAGGTGATGAATCATGCAGAAACTGACCAGGAAGATGAGGCGGGGGCGACGGGGAGGATGAGACGGAGGAGCAGAGCGGAGAAGTAGCTGGAGGCGTCGCATATCGTGATTCCGAACCGGTCTGATCAAAATATGTAGTCGACCCTTCGCTGGAGGAGGTGGATTGACGAGTGACACTGCGACCGCTGCTGGTGGTGTTAGCGCCAGTGTTGGGGTTGCAGCCAGCACTGGAATTTGGACAGTCCGGGACAGTCGAACGGTCCTTGGTCTGGTCCGAGATCCATTTGCCCACATGGGCGCGGACGAGGCGCTGAATCTTCAAACGCTCATTCTCAGAAGTTGGCCGCGCATTGACAAAGTGAATGGCGTCCCTTTTGCGTCCGGAGGTGGCACGTTTGGTGGAAGTCATTTCTCCGAGGTCAGGAGTACAGGTATCGACAGAGACCGCAATTCAGAGCCGAAGCCAGGAACAGCATCCTGTAGCTCCAACTAGGCAAGTGTACACGGATATCGATGACAATTACTCCTTTGATAGTAGCGCCACAGGGCAAAAGTTTTGGCAGGACAGATGGGAAGGGCGAGTTTAGGGGGAGGAAGGTTGGATCAAGAACGAGACCGAGATCGAGACCGAGACCCGGAGAGCAGGAAGGAAAAGTGTGGAGGAGAGGGGCGAATAATGTGGTGATTGGCGAGGGTCTAGATCGGTAGCGGGAAAACGGATTCTGCAGGCGGTGTTGGATGTGGATGTAGAGGAACTGACGGAAGGACTGAAAGTAAAGAGCGAAGGAGGGTGTCAAAACAAAAGATCTCAGGCAGGAGAGAGGAGAGAGGGAGAAAGGGGAGGAAGAGAAGGGGGAGTGAAGGAAATGAAGAAGAAGAAGACGAGGAGGTAAAGGGAATGGGCGTCCGGATTGAGCTGAGTGGGGAAGAGGGAAGAAGGAAGAGAGAGAGAGAGAGAGAGAGAGAGAGAGAGAGAGAAAGAAAGAGAGAGGGTAGAGGAACGGGTAAAGGAGAGCAGAACAGAAGCCGAAGAAGCCAAGCAGAAAGCGGCAGGATCTCCCAGTGACGATCGCCAGATCTTCTTCTGCTGTTCTTGCTGCTCTTCTTCTCTTTTTAGTTTAAGAACAACCACAACCAGCCTTTCTCAACTTTCTCAACTGACCCTTCCAAAGCTAAGATCTGCCACAAAACTCAAGGCCTAATGATTAGGCTTATCGGCACAAACCACAATGCTGAACACACTTGAAATGACAACAAGATCAAGACAATAACAAAGTTAAGAGAAAGAAAGAGACAGAGACAGAGATAGAGAGTGGGAAAGAGAAAAGAGAGAGCGAGAGTGAGAGGAGAGAAAAGATGATTGACTCAAAAACATCTCTCATGGTTACATCCTCGCATTTCATTCAAACTCTTTCTCCTCAAATCTTCTTTTTAAAGTCCTCTCCCACTTGAAAGATACAATTGTACCCTTCTCTCGCATTCAATCCCTGGTTCTTCAAATCGTTAAAGGTCCTTTTTCTCCATCCCAGGGTCTGGACTCCGCGGAGCCACCGGTTGATGCGGGGGTAAGAGAGAAAACAGTGTCAGTTTCAATACTCGCGACGCTCCGTTCGCTTCTTCTCGACCTTCGGTCTGTTGTCGAGGGGTCTGGGATCAGATTGGAGCTCGACAATCATCATCTAGTAACGAGCGACTGATGCTGCTACTGCGCTAATTGGTCCTCACTCGAACTGTCACAGACAAGTGATTGACTTCATCCCAATCCGCCAATAAATAGCGTAATATGACGGGCGGCAAAAGGACAAGCCGACAAGTGATCCATGGTCGGGAAACGAGATGTCAAAGTTACCAAGGCAGCTACATTGCGGTCCATTCGAGGAACCCATGTTCACATGCACATGTGTACGACAAGCCACAAGATCTACTCAGCCAGTTTTCGGTACATGCGAAGGAGCATGCAAGGATTCGTATGTGCGCAAAGCAGAAGAAAACCGTCCATCCTGTGGTTCGCTCTACAACAGGAATAAGTACAACGAGGTCTTGAATGAGAACCAACAATTCACAGATAGTCTCTCTAAAACATGAAACCAAACACCGGAAACTCAGTCCAGCTCGATCAAGGGGTATCGTCCGCCCTCGCCGGTCAAAGGATCCTGATACTGGTCCAGCGCCGCCTCAACCGCTACCATATACCCAAGTACCTTCTCCTCCTGCCAGCGCCGACCGACTACCTGCACCGCCGTCGGCAATCCTGCCATCTTGGTAGCATCGTAGTGCTTCCAAGCCCCGCGAGAGAGTGCGCCGTCAGCGCCCAGCTGCTTGAGAACCTTCTTGTACGGTCCCGGTAGAGCATCCTTTTTCGCATCGACATGCGACACAGGCAAAACGCCCGCCGTGTAGTCCAGCAGGTTCCAGAGGAAGGTGTATCCACAAGATGAAACCGCGTCGTGCATGGCTTTGTGTGGTAGAGCCGGGGTGGCGTTGACAGGGCACAAGATGAAATCGTACTGCTGTGTCGCGCCATCCCACCAGGCGTGCCAGGTGGCACGGAAAGATTCGCGCTGCGCGGTGAGCTTCCAGAGCTCGGCTGCCGATTTGGGGCCAAAGGTACGAATCAATTTAGCCCACTGGACGTCGCGGCGGATGTAGCGCACCCAGAGGTAGTAAAGGTACCGCAGAGGACGGGGCAAGTTGGAAATCCGGGTAAGTTGATCTGCGCCCGGGTCGGAGGGTTCGAAACTGTGCAGATGCGAGTTGAAGGTGACGCAACCATCAGAGTTCAGAAGCTGCGAGGCTAGATGAAGCCCTGTGAACGGGTCTGCCGTGACTGGTGGCTTAATCTCCGAAACTGTGTGGCCGGCCGCAACAAGAGCAGCGGTTGTTGTCGACAAGGCACGCGCAATGGCCGGGGTAGGGGGGATGACGCCTATGTGTGGTTAGCCAGTGTCGGTCTGGTTGGTTCGGGTGGCCATGCCGATCCACTCACCATCGCTAGTCATCAATCCGATTCGAAGCTTCTTCGTCTGGGCTTCCTCCTCCTCCTTCTCCCGCCAATGAATGGGATGGACCGTGTAATCATACTTCCATGGCTCCATCCCCACAATAGCTTTTGTAAAGTAAGTCAAGTCATTCAAGGTCCGAGCCATCGGACTGAAGACACTGGGAATGCCTTCTTGGCCGGCCATGCTGGTGTGAACGCCAACCTTCGGCCACCGGCCAGTACTGCAGCGCAGGGAATAAATACCGCTCCAAGCCGCCGGGACTCGAACGGACCCGGCGACATCAGATCCGATACCGATGCGGCCGCCCAACGCCAACAACGCACCTTCGCCCCCAGTGGAACCGCCAGGAGAGTAGTCGGGAACATGAGGGTTGAGGCACGGGCCCCAAAGAGCGTTGGCTGACTCAAAGGACAACAGGGTCACGGGCAACGCGGTCTTGGCGTAAGGCACAGCCCCTAGGGAGATGTTAGCCACGGCGTGCAGCAGCAGCAGTTTCGTCGAGAAAGGCCATACCAGCGTCTTTCAAAAGCTTGGTCATCGGTCCGTCTTCCTTGTATGGCTTGCACGCATACTTGGTGTATCCCAGGGTGGTATCAAACCCTTTAATCTGAAGCGAATCCTTCAGAGAGACGGGGATTCCCGCCAATGGTCCTTGGAGGTTGACTTCCGACTGGACCCATGATTCAGCTTCGGGCAGAAGCAGTTCTGTCACGCAGTTGGTCTTCTCATGGGCTTTGACGGCTACTTTGCCGTAGGTGCGAAGAACATCGAGGGGCGATACGGATTCAGCGTGCACCTCATCCACCAGCTCTTGTATCGGTTTGTTGATGATAACCTTATCGATCGCTGTGAAAGGGGCGTGATATTCTGCCGGCAGTGATGCGAATCTTGCTGCTCGCTCCCTTCGCTTGTAATCCCTGCCGCGCCATTAGTATCCAAGCGAATGCTCGGTGATTCACACATCAAGTAGTGTGAATTGTACTCATGACCTCGTGAAGAGGCATGACTGACTTACCGGAGGCGACGGTATGTGAAGTAATCGAATGGGGGAAGCATGATGAGACGAAGACTCTTTCCGTCACTAGAGTCCACGAGAAAGGAAGAGTGTACTTTCAAGTTGAGGAGAACGAAGGATAGAATCAAAGACTGAAAGCAAGGAGGATGGGAAGGGCGGCCTTTTATTATTGCGGGGAAGGACGGAGGAGATGCGGAGACATCGTAGCGATAAGCCCGCGCGCGGGTCCCGCTGATAAGCGTGGGGACCGCCCAAAGCTCGGATACAGCTTGCGCTCGAGGCTGCCCATTGACTTGTCCATCCCAGGATGTTTATCTCGGGCTGTATGCCTATGTATGACGCGAGCACCGCGATTCAGAGCTCAATCTTGACCGACATCTTCAGCAAGCACATAACAGCAGAATCCCGATCATGAGTTGCTGATGGAACAACTGGCAAACCCGAGCTACGTAGTGTAAATGACCGATAAGATGCCGGCAGCCGGCGCATGGGATGCCATATTGGGAAAGTCCATGCGTGGACTCGACTTGGATAAAGACGCGGCTGGACTTTCCACTGCTATACAGTCTGAACCTTTCCCTTCCTAAAAGATCACCAACGGGAGATCGCAGCAAAAAGCGAAATAAGCGATTTCATGTGAATGCAACATTCATCGTAACAATACTTATCACAACGACGGTTGTCAGCTATTTGGGGATATTGCAACAGGGCCAGCCCCAGCCCGCCGCCAAAAGAACGAGAGAATATGAGAACAAAACCGAAATGAGGCCCGCTCATTCATGCCTAGCTAGAAAACACATATTCACAAGATACCTCTTTCCTCGACCCAGATCCTTAACCCCTTATCTGCCACTACATCAAGCTGATCTCGATGTCTCCCGTAGCCAGTGATGAGCATTGAGCCAAACGACCACCACGATAACGCCAACAACGAACAGCGCAATGAGGAAGAATATCAGAAAGCCGCAGAGGATGGTTCGTTTGCGTTTCCTTTCCTGGCCCTTGATCCAGTTATCCCTGTGAGAACCAGACGATCAGCATACGAGACAAGCAACAAGACCCTCGGCGAGAACTTGAAACAGGAATAGCGAGACAACATACGACCATATAGTGACTTCCTTTTCTGGGGTGGAAGCCTTGGATTCCTCATCCAGGTGGATGGCAAGGGAGAAGCGTCGCCAGAACGCTGGGTCCCGATTTTGAGCCATCTTGCGTTTATTGATCGGTAGACATGGGCTTGAAGCGCGATTCGAAAAGGTCGGAACACGAGCCAGGTCAAATGACAAACGAGAGGACGGGGCCGATGGTCGACCTATAGCGCACAATCAGCATGAGATTCAGCAGCTATGAGGGAAGAACGTACCTGGTCACTGCCCCTTGGAAAGATCTTCGAGCTGCTGGTCTACGCGAGCTCTGCAATCAAACACGAGGGAAAAGAAGGAAGAATCAAAGGGTAGGGTAAGGAGAGGTGTTTTCTCGGTCAAGTTGGGGCTCGTAGTTACAATGAGAAACAAACAGATGGATCGTGTAGGAGTAGAATAGAGATTTGGGTATGAGAGGGATACGAGCGAGACCAGGCGACTACATTGCTGTTTACTTAGGGGAGGGCATTCAAACAATGAACCCCGTTACTCGGAATCCTATGGTTCCAGGCGGGAATGGCGGGAGGAATGCAATGAGCGTCCAATGCAGTGTTACCTCCTCCCAATTATTGTTTGGAGATTTCATTCTGACAATTTGTCATGACCAATCATGGAGTAGGAATGGATCATTGTACATGAAGGGATTTCCCGGGGGGAAGAATGAGCAACTTAACTCTTCTGCACAACCTAAGAATAGAGTGATTAGCTATGTGAGTACACAATAGATAGTACACATAGATTGTAAGTTACCTAGTAGATAGCAGTGATGTACTTTTTTACTGTACAGTATTCATTATTATTATTATTATTATCGTTATTGATTGACCCTCCTTGACCCAGTCAGCCCACTGATCTTCTGATCCAAGGGTCTTCGAGTGCCACAGGGGGCGAACTATGCATCTTGTTCGGGCGGATCATTTGCAGCCACTAACCTAGACGGAAGAACCCGCGGTGATCTCAATGCCATTGAAGAGCATCCGTATGTAGGTACGTACAGTAGTTAGTCACTGTAGTAGCTAACTATCTAGCTAGCTAGCTAGTTAACTGACTGACTGACTGACCCCTGGCCCTGGTTCAGGCATGTGATGTAACTTATGCGCCTGTGAGGTACCTGCGTCCTCCGCACCACCCCTAAGTCTCGTGCATCTTGGTGGTCAGCTATAGTGAAGTGGGTATTACTCAAATTATTCCTGATGAACTCGTAGAATGGTTAAGTTGACTTGATGGTGGAGGTAGGGGGAAATGTATGCCTCAGGTGTTGATAGGAATAGAAGCCCCATGGTTGAGCAGCCGATCCCCAAATCATCAACAACCACTCACTTCTCATCAGTACTTCCCCACTTCTTCTCTCCCATAAACTCTCCAGGCTCTCTCCCTCTTCTCTCTTTCTCATTCACCAAGCATGAAGAAGCACTCGAGGCAAAGTTTATGCAGAAAAAGACAAAACAAAAGCAAAAAAATGATTGATGACGCATGGTGATACAGCCGTGGAATGTCCGTCATTGTACTTCCCTCCCTACTCCCCCCTTTCGCTGCTTGTCTGGTCGGTCACCTGCGGGGGGAAGCATTCACCCACTCATTCAATTTTAGTAGTCTAGTCCCTTCAACCAGGTGCTGTGGTAGGTATACCACTGTACGGTACGGTACGTATTCGGAGAATCTCGACTGGCTGGCTTGTGCTAGTTCTCCCCAACTGGGCTTCATGCAGCATCATGGATCTGGTTTGCATCGGCTTTCGTCCAGCATCAAATCCCTCCGTTCTCCACCCTCATTCGATTCGTTCCGCGTTCTTTACAGATGAGGCGGATTGAGTTGTCGACTTCACACTCTCACAGTGCCAACAAACAACAGCATTGAACCATTTTCTCTCTTTTGGGCTCTCCCGCAGTGGAGCATCAGCGAATGGGTGCCTGACCGCCCGGGCGTTGCCTGTCATTTCGAACTGACTGACCGCGCACTAAACCGGATTCAATGCGCCAGGCGGATCGCAAGGTGCTGCTGGCCGGCCTACAGCATCACTCAATTCACTCACTCACGCACTCACTCACCTTGTCGCTCAGTCTGCTGAACGTCTCTCTTCAGCCTTGCCCCTCCCGCTTGCTTTTCCCTCCCCATTCTTCTACCTCAGCGGTCCCATCGATGCTCCGCTCATTGTTTCACTGCTGCTGCTGCTGCTGCTGCCAGATGCCCTTCCCGTGCGCCCAATCCCAGTAGCTAGGCCATGTGTTCCGCCCATGATCCGGGCGCGAGTTTCTGGGGAGTGTTGATCAACTCGGACAAGAGTCCAGCCCCGCTCCTTGAACAGCTCTGCTTGGAAATCGCTCAAAAAATTGTAAGTCGGAGCTTGAGACACTGTATGCGACCGGAAAATAAAAGCTGAATTTTGGCTTCTCAATAGTCGTCTTTCGACGATTACGCAACGGCTGATCTCACGCCCGAACGCCTGGCCTCTTTCTACCGCAAGGTCGGTGGAAATTACGATGTGCTCTTTCTCCAAACCAAGCCTTCTGCTCTGTCCTTTATCTACCAGCGTCTCGGCTGCTTCCATAGTATCCAACCCACAAACGATGCATACAAACCCCCCGCAATCCCCGCTCTACAACCCAACGGCTTCGTACGATGGCAAACAATCCAATTGCTGTTAGACCCGGACGAACATTGCCGATACCTTCAGAATGCGGTCGAGCTTTGGGATATTGAAAATCCTAGCGGCGGCACATTTCCGAAGACGATTCCCCGCGAAGCCTTCCCCGAATCGCCAGACCCAGAAATGGTGGAGTGGCACGAGACAGTCAGCCGACGGTTTGAGATGGACTATGTGAAGAAGAACATTCTCCGTGCATCGCCTCCGAGTTTTGGTACCTACCACTCTCAATTCAGTAACCACCATAAGGACGAGGCTCCGTCCCCCAAGGAGAAAAGAGCGTTTCCCAGTCGCCGTAAGACAACTGCGCAGCGTGCCAATGTCGCTCCGGAAGAACCAGCACCTTCGAGCCGTCATCAAAGGCGCCGCAGCGGGGAGGTTCCCACCTCATCGACGCGTCGAGTACAATCCACCTATTTCAGTCCACCGCCACCTCCCCCAGAATTCGCGTCGCCCTCACCTCGGGCGCCCTCGCCACCAATGTGGGCTAAGTCATCTCCGAAGGCCCGAGGACGAGAACGCGGGCCCACCTTCTCACGCCCAGTCAGCCCAACTACTGTGCCGGGTCATAGCCCCTCAGATGCCTCGTCAGAGGATTCAATAGCTGCAGCACAAGAAGCGGCCAACCGTTATAACAACCGTCATCTGCGTCCCTCGCATTCACACAGCTCCCGTACCCGTCGGCATTCACATGAGGCGTATGCACGGAAACCCCCGCGTGATCTCTCTCCTGAAGCGCAGCGACGGACCTATACCCACCGCGACACGTTGAACTCTCACTCAGGGCGACCATATGACTCCGATGGGGGTCGCAGAACCCGCCCGGCACGTGCATACGCCGAAGAGCCAATCATGCATCCCCGGACCCCGGGCCCTGTCTTCTACGAGACTGCCTTCAACGACCCTCCCGTCATGCCGATCAACCAAGAACTACCTCGATATTCCCATCCTCATTCTCATGCACATCCACCACCACCACCACCACCTCGTTATATGAACATGAACGGTACTCACCCGTACGTCGGACGTGCCCACCCTGACAGTGACATGCGCGTCCCTGTCGACGAGGCTCGTCGAAGCTACCGAGCGTCCAATGCAAATTCAGGATACCCTAACCCCGGTGTCTCCGACCACACGGCGCGATATTCTGGGAGAGATGACGGAGGCGCATACCGGTCACCGAGATGGGCCAACCCTGTTCCACCGCCCACGAGGGGCATTCCAGTGGGTATGCCAGACATGGAATACCCTGTTCGATCGAGACGGTCTATGTATGATCGATAAAAGGTTGGGCGGGACTAAGACACTATCTCCCTCTTCGCGAGGGCTGTTGTTTCTCATCTGAGAAGTAGCCTTGATCCTCGCCACGATCAACCACGGTTATATTCGGAATCTACTAACATTACCCCCTCTCCTCCAATCCAACCTTTATCTTGCACGATGAGCATTGCCAGGCATAGCAGTATCGACATTGACATTCGCATTGGCGTATGGCAAAGAGTCATAAAGGTTCAGTTTCGGTTTCTAGGTAATAGAGCATTTGGGCTTGTCTGGTTTTCTTCACGTCGGCGCTTGGTATTCTTTTGATATACATATCGCCTCGTTTCCTCTCTCTTCCCGCGTTGAGCTGGAGAAGACCCACCACTTAACTATATGATGTCACGACGTTACGACAGTATAAGCTTCTGAAATCTGCAAGAGTAGAAAGGGCCCCGGGCGCTGTTAGATTTGATATACTCTATTAATCTGTTATGGATATTAGCAGAGTAGAAAACAATAGTACATTTTGTACTTGGAATGTGGTTATGACGATGTGCGGTGCTTTCTATACCCAAGGAATTTCAAGAATATGTAACTATAAATAAGGTGTAGTGGCTCCGGCAGACGGGAGGGAAAGGTATCGGGGGATTGTCGATGCCTACCCACCGGCAAAGGCCTGAAGGGCGATTAGATCCCGCGTCGCATACATGTGCTGCGATCGGTAAACAAACTTGTAGGGTAGGCCTAGCTGCGTATCGTGACTGGTTAGGTAAGAGCGTCAAAAGTGGTAGCTTTAAACCAGCAAGATCTCTACCTAGTATGTAGTAGTAGTGTAGTCCTTGTATGAGTTTCGGATTTTATTTCCCGGGTTGGAGATAGGCTAGAGACACCGACTAGCAAACTGTGGCATTAATCCCTAACAAGGTAGCTAGCCCAATCTTACCAGGGTAGGATACTATAGATAGTTCTGTTTGTAAGATATAAGGTAAAACTCTAGATTCTCAGGAGTTAAGGGCTTATTTACTCACAAGGTCGCGGTGAAAGGGTAGTTACTGTATCAAGCGATTTTCAAAAGAGATTAGTACTATAAAATCTGGGTAATTGTATAGAGTATCATCAAGTATAGGTGCAATTTTAGGCTTGATATTTAGATACTAGAAGAGAGACCTGGATTAGCTTTGTCGATAGACATAGCAGTTGTATATAGGCTCCGTTATAATCAAGTAAGATTAGGAAAGACGGAGCACCGGACCTGCGGCCGGATTGCTGTTCGGTAGTTTGATGTGCGAACGAACAAATCGATCGATCAATCGATCGATCGATCGATCGCACTGGTAAAGTGATGATTGTATCTCCGGCTGCATTAAAACCTCGTCGCTATCCCCCCAGGATCTACTATAGTCTATTCGCTGTGACCGGGGTAGTGTACTGTGGACGGGCTATACATCGTCATTACCGGCGCATTAAGTAAACTAGCACTGACTCGACTAAACCAAATAAACATCACATCATCAGATCTACATCTGTCATCAGCATTAACGACCCTACTCAAACATCCATCGCTGCTCAAATCTTCATATGATTTACCATGAGGCCAATATATATGCAGCAAGCCCCAATCAAAATCAAAGCTAAACGGTCAACTCCGCCTTCTGGAAGGTGAACCCCTGCTGTTCGAAGACCCTACACTTGGCCGTCCGCCCCGGGTTCACCGTGACGCCCGGGACCACGCCTAGCGACGCGACGACCGGATCCTCGTTGCCGCGGTACTCGGGCATGCGGTAGCCGCGGGCCCCGAAGGTCTCATACGAGTAGCGGTAGGCGGGGCCGCGGAGCTGCAGGGCCTCGACATCGGGGTTCGGGTTGCGGGTGCGGAAGAACGAGGCGAAGATGTCGTTCAGGAGCTGCGAGTGCTGGATGTCCATGGGGCCGTAGTAGGGGGCGACATTTTGGGTCTTGCTGTTCAGCGTGCCCCAGACCAGGAGGACGTCCGAGGAGTGGCAAGTAGCGTTCTTGTCTTGGTTGGGGGAACAGATGGCGGGCGTGCCGACGGTGGTTTGGATGTGGCCTTGTGGGACGGAGAATTGGTAGAGGTGGGGGAATTGTTTCTCGGGGAGGGTGGTGTTGGTGGTTGTGTTGGCGGTGGCCAGGTTCAACAGGTAGGATTGCGGGCAGGTCCATTCGCTGTGGGTAAGGGCATCGGCGGCGACATTACGGACGCTGTCGGTGGCGTTGGGGTTCGTGGAGAAGGCATCGGAGGCGATCAGGGCTTTCGCCAGCGACGAAGGGTAGGCGAGACTGAAGATCTCCGCCAGAGCCACTTCGGAAGATCCCATGCTCTGGGTGACTTCGGCGTCGACGTAGAGGGCTGCCTCGTCGGCCACGGTGGTGAAAATGACGGGGACACGGTTGGGGAGGCGGTCCTCCGCGAGAAGGGTGTGGAATTGATCGTCAATGACGCCGCTTCCGGTGTCGTCGACGATTGGGAGGATGGGCTCGATGGATGCGAGGAGGTCGCTGGAGTGTAGCCAGCCGGTAGCGAGGGCTTTAGCGCTAGCGGCTGTGGCGGCCTCAAACTCCGTGCTATTGTCAAGGTACCTGCTCGCTGGAACAGAGCGGAGGCAAGAGAGTAGAGTGCTCTCAGACGTGGTCCCATTGCAGCCTACGGCACTGGAGATGAGAGGGGTAACGATGTCGGTGTAGACTCCGCGCGTGAACCAAGGCAGATCAACAGGGGCGGATTGGACGATGGCGCCGCTGAAGAGGCCCTGGGCTGCGGACGAAGAAAGCAAGGCAATCGCACTCTGGCCACCGGCAGACTGGCCAAAGATAGTGACTTGGTCAGGATCTCCACCGAATGCCTTGATGTGCTGCTTGACCCATTTCAGGGCCATGATCTGATCCCGGATACCATAGTTGCCGGTCGTTGAGTTGCCGATAGTGAGCCAGCCTAGGGCGCCGACGCGGTAGTTGAGCGTGACAACGACAATGTCGTTGCGGCTGGCGAAGTTGCCTCCATCGTAGTCCACCATCGCTGAGGTCCCCTCGGTGAACGCACCTCCATAGAGGTAGACTGCAACAGGCTTGCGCTTAGAGTGCTTGGTTGTCTTCGCAGGGAGGATAGGGGTGTAGACATTCAGGTAGAGACAGTCCTCGGATATGCCGCCATTATCCAAGGTGCCAAAGCCTGACACGGATTGGATGCAGGAGTTGGCCATCTTCGCTGCATCGATATCACGGGGCCCGGAGTATGGGCGCGGTGGTGCAAAGCGCAGATCTTTCACTGGAGCATCGGCGAAAGGAATACCCAAAAAGCGAAACGACCGTCCGTCACGGTAGCCAGTCATGCGATACCCATCGGATTCAATGGAGATTTTGGATGAGTTCACAGCTGTTCTATCCTGGTCCGTCGTAGGGGGAACACTGGAGGTGCACAGAGCGGGCAATTGAAAGCCACAGGACACCGACACAAGCTTCTTATGCTCAAGGGAAAAGGCGCGGCAATCGTTGTGAGTAGCCTGAGAAACCCATAACCTTTCATTGGGCTGGACGTCCTGAACATGAACGAGATAGTCAAGCTGGTATGCTAGCTCTGTGCTGTTGACCTGTGAGATCTCCTGCGCTTGGTAAAGTCTTTCTCCAATCGATTGGCACCGGGCTTCTGCTTCGAAACTCGAGAGACGATCATGGACAAGAACTGCGGCTGTACCATTATTCTGAGGGCCTAAGTCGTTATACTTCAGGGCCTGGAGAGTACCCAAAGAGTCAATGTTGGGGACATGGCTTTTGCCAGTCGTTAGTGGAGCTGGCACTGCAAGAGCTTGACGGCCCAGCAGCAGGGTCCCCGCAAGAATTTGAAGCTGCATCTTGAGGAGATACGGATACGACTACTGAATGGAGATTTGCAAGGAAAACCCAGGGCGCCAGCTATCTTTTTATAGTGCTAGACCGCAGGGTTTGGCCAGGGCATTGGGCTCTTGCATGTTTTTTTCTCATTTTCTCGGAGCAATCAAAACGGCAATACGTAGCGGACAACAGTGGGTTCAGAGTTGAAGCGAAGCTGGACTGCAGCATAGACAGTAGGTGAGAGAGACCTAGAAGCGAAATCCGGGGTACCTTGGATTGACCATGAAGTTACATAATGCGGATTGGCCGGATCTACCCAGCAGTAGGATGTGGCGGAACCGGCTAACGCAGACCATAGACGTTGGCGTTGTCATGGAATATTCTTTTGCTAGGCCAATTGGTTCTATCTAGCCGAGGGGAACAATCTGAATGGTTCTTTCGGCAAAGTAAACTGGGGAGCGGATCCTTGGCAAGCGGAATCCCCTCCGAGGGACTCGCGACATCCGGCAACCGATAGGCAAGTGCTTGTATTTATGTAGACCACCGAGCAATTGTTGGGATTGTGGAGGCCAATGTAGCTCAACCACCGAGCAGCTTAACGGCTAGATCACCTTGGCTCGATGTTTTTATGGCGCCACATCTCAAGGTTCTCCAGATTCGGATTAGATCAAGACTGGAGTCCAGGCACTATGCCTGTAAAGCTGTTTGGGATATTGGGTGTAAATACCGATTGGTGGACAGTGTTGATGTCAGTCATACAGCCTCCATCCTGGAACGATAATAATTCTCTCTTGTCGCGGCGCTGATTGAGGAGATGCTGATCGCTGTTGCTCGAGTGAGCGACGTCTCGATTGAGCATGCAAAGTGTATGCAGCAGTCTTCAGAGCGGTCCTCTCTGACATTGGCTTTCTTAGCTATCTAGGAGGAAACGTGCAGCTGTAGCTGGAACTTATAAGGGCCCCATTACCGTGTCAAGAGAAGTATAACTCATGGCATGACTATTCCGGCCCGCAAGCAGGCCCAAAGACGTCGGGGCTGAGCAGTGGCACTGCATCACCAGATCTTAGTCGATTACAGAAAGAAGTTGATTGTCCCAGGAGACGAAGCGAAAAGTCTAAGCCATGTATACTTGATAGGTAGTGATGATCGTGTCGTGTCATGGCTCGGTGAAGCAAAGAGAGGTGGAGAGGAACAGTTGGAGATTGGCAGGAGTTTGAGTCTTGACCGAATTGTGCCTCGTACCTGACCATCAAACATACAAACAAACAAACAAACAACAAACATAACAATTGCGACAGATAACTCCGCGAGTACAAACCAACAAGTATGACTATGAATAGCATATGCTAAGAGTCCAAATGCTTTTAGGCCACTGCAACTCACTTACGGAAACGCTCCACCTCTCGCTGCCCCAGAATCTGCTCCTCAGGAAACCAGTTACCATGCATCCCATACGGTACACGCTGCGGCAAGAGCACACGAGCCACGACTTCCTTCATTTCCAAGGCATCAATAATCCACAACACGCTCTGAGAAGTCTCGGGTGCTGCGCCGTTTTCATCGAGCTGCAATTCATCGTACACGTAGGTGACGAGCCACCCATCGTCCTCGGACTGACCATCCTTGCGAGCAACAAACGAGCACTCCTGCGCGTACCATCCATCAGGTAAAGCAAAGACTTTGATGGGATCATTTGGATCATCAGAAATGAGAACTTCGGCGACAGATCTTTGGTCAACACAACCATCCACCTGCGACGGAGGGTCGGCGAGGCCTCGCGCAAGCAGAGCCACCACATCGATCTTCACAAGACATTCAACCTTGACATTGCTAATACAAGCTTCCGCAAAGTCTCCAGTCCGCATCGAGTTCCCATAAACGAAGCGAGTCGGTGCCATCTGGAGGCGATGCGGCACGTGTGGAAACTCAAAGGGAATCGCAGATAATGCCCACTGATGAGAGATCTGCTTGGGCCTCCTTGCGTGGGGGAAATTGATAGTAGTATAGGCGGCATTCTGGGCTTGTTGGAATGCTTATGTTTGGAGCTTCCAAGCCGCCCGTATGGTAAAGAGGAGCAGCACTGTTCATCCGGCACAAAAGCAGATGGACCCGCGTGCCGTTGAAGGTTTCTTCATCCCAGGTGTTGACGGTGTGCATGATCATGCAGGGCGCTGAGGTGTACCATTTTACCTTCTCGGGCTCGTACCGGGGAAACACCCCGAATCGTGTCTGGCCACGCCAGTTGTACTCACTAACGTGCCGGTTTCCCACGAAGATTGAACGAATCCAACGACACAGGCATATCTATCATGACAGTGTGTTTGCGCGATACGCCGAAGTCATGCATGATCTCACCTCCCTGAAATCCCGGTTCGGGCTGGTTGAGACAAAGAGTCTGGTTGGAGAAGCTTTAGCCGGTATGATCGAGTAAGTGACGAACGGGGCTAGGAAAGTTGCATGGAAGAGAAACATCTCTTGCGTCTGAGGGTCAACGTGGGGCTAACAGGGCGAGTTGATGTTGATGAGCATGTTTCTGATCTCATCGTGAGAAATGGCTACCTACATGAGCCGTTGTCATTTCTTTGATAAAGCCCTCCACTCCCGGTCCGCCAAAGTATAGACGAGGTTTCTCATGTAGACTCTCCTTCCGCTCTACTACCAGTGAACCAGCCGACAGTCTTTAGCGACGACGGCAGAAAAACACGCATAGGAGGGCCCGTCTCGTTCGTGGCCAGTATTTGATCATCATTATGCACAACACTTGTGTTGGAAGTGCTGGTACGCCGGATGGGCCGAGCGATGAGACCCCAGAGCGAGGCAACAATTAGAGCCATCGCTTGTACGACCTCCATCAGCACGCTGAGCACCGATGATCTCGGACTGATCAGGGTGGTCACGCCTAGCGTGACATGGTGGATTCGGGGATATCTTGCAACAGCGTCATGTACATCAGTGCGGACGGATTGACAAAAGCAGGGCGGACACCGGGGGCCTGCGCGATGCGCTCGAAGAACACGCTGGTGAGCATCCCATCACTGTTGAACCAATGGAAGCCTCGGCTAGTATCAACCTGGAGGGGTTTGCTTCCGTTGCGCACATACTGCCCTCCGAAAAATTCCTCGGGAATCGCGCCTTCAGACGGACAGGGCCGGAGATTCAGGGTAGTGTGAATAGGAGCATAGTTCCCGGCATGGTAACTCAAACTTGTCAGCTCGTTAGGCATCAATGCTTCCAAGAGCAGGCTAAGACGCGAGCGTACGGTTTTTTTTTTTTTTTTTTTTTTTGTCCATTGTGTCTGTGCAAGCGGCATTGAATGCCCCAAATGGGACACGGTGAAGAGAACCATGATATATCCCTCCAACATGTTCTGACCACCCGGCTCATCTAGGTCCTGCTCAAGACCGCGATCGAGCAAGTCATAGTGGTAATACGAGAGCTTGAGAAATTGGCAATCAAGGCTCATTTCAGCCACGCAAAATTCCTGGAGAACTGGGTCAAAACCTTGATTCACACAAGATATTATAGCAGGACAGCTCACAATTCGATGGGAAACAACGCCGACTGGCTGAACTCAATCGCGCTAACTCATGCCAAGCCACGCTCCCATGAAGAGTGCTAGGCAGCGTGGGATACTGGCGTCGTTATATGATTCGAAACTTTCATGATCGGATGTTTTCTGGGAAAGTCGAGCTTCCCCATTTGAAGGTATACGATGTGTATAGAACCTAGGGAAAAGATTTGAAGAGCGCCACGTGAAGATAGACCAAGAGTACTCACTATTGACAATTGCTCTATGATTTCTCTCTCTGTGATGAAGAACCGAAGACATACCCATTGCTGTCATCACCTGTGCCTAGGGAGAACCTTATGTTCTCCTGCGTTGCAAACGTCTGGACCTGGGTATCAAGAGCTTGCGATGTCGTTGTACGTGGGAGAGAAAGTGTGAACAAGAACTAATGGTAAACAAAGAATGACAGTACAGGTCAATTACTTCCACTCAGGCTGGGGAATGCTCTCACTGTTTGGGCAGAAGCATGTGACGTCAAGACCAGCCAGAGTCAAGCCAGGCTATTTCCATATTTGGCTAGTTTTCAAATGGGACTTGAGGCATCTACCTGCCTTGTCTACTTTTGCTCTACCAATATCTTGAGCTTACCTGCTCTCATACTGTATTTAAAAAACACAGGGTCTGAAGTATGTACTTTATTTCCTTATATGTATCGTAAAGCATCGCTCATTAACATCCACATGTAGAAGCCTTGCTAATTAGAGGCCCCATGCAAATTTTCTTTCAGAAGCGGGGAAGAATCAAGCAACGTAAGCCACCTGGCTTCTGACAGGCACATTCTGATCCGTATCAGCCGAGGGGAAGCCTTGAACATTGACGCCCTTCCGGAAAAGGAGACAATGCGTTGAGCCACCGAAGTGGAACATGCCGAGCTCGTCACCTTTGTTGACATGCTGGCCCTCCTTAACAGTGATGTCACAGGTCGAGACCTCGCACATGCCCACACCCAGGAAGGCCATAAGGCCGATATCCGGGTTGTCGCATTCGATGAACATGATGGCGCGGGTGGCAGTGGCTGTCAAGAAGCCCTGCGAAGTGACCTCACCGCAGGCATCAATCCCGTGCTTGTGCTTCTCGGTGGGGTTCGGGTCGCCAATGCCCTCGAACAAGGGCTCAGAGTAGTATGTGCCATCCACGACGTAGGCCTTGACGATCTTGCCGGAGACGGGGCTGTGCCAGCGGTGGTAGCTCAGTGCGCTAAGGAAGGCCTGGTAGACGGTGCCACCGTTGAACTGCTCCGCCAGGGGGTCGAAGGCAAGCATGTCGTTGATCGAGTACGGCTGGTGCTTGATCCAGAAGGTGTCGCGGGCTTTCACATTGTACGCGACCTTATAAGGCTTGGACTCGCAGGCATTGGCGATGATCTTGTCGTCATCAGGACCAGCAACTGGCCGGATCCCCTCCCGGAAAAGCCGCGTGAAGAAATCGTCCCAGGATTTGTAGCCGTGGTGAGGAGCGGAGGGGTCGCAAATGAACATCTCTTCAAATGTGTGGTCGGTCTTGCCGCCCAGGTTGGCCACCTCGACTAGGTCGGACTTCCCCGTCTCGCCGAACCAGCCGTTCGCGGAGTCGTCGAGGACGGATGCAGACTCGGGGGATCTGAGGAAGTCACCCCAGGCGTTGAGGACTTTCTTCAGCATTCGGTTGACGTCGGGGTCAAGGAAGGCGGCGTAACCGGAGGGGGTTCCCATAGGCCAGTCTAGGACAGCATTGATGGGCAGTCCGACAAGACCCACGCGGTGAGAGAAGTCGTTCCATGAGGGGGCGGTGGTGATGAGATGGTTGAGAACTTCCAGCATGTGCTTGTAATCGCGTAGCTGTGGGCAGCCGGTCGGATCCGTCGCGTAGGTCCGGTTGCGCGGGATTTCGCCGAACATGGCGGCCATGAGTAAGTAGACCCTCGTGTTGGACTCGATAAGTTCTTGAAATTCTTTTAAAACTGGGTGAAGCTCTTCAGGCTTGTTGCGGTCGACGTGGGCGATAACACCCCCAACCCATTCGTGATGCTCGTCCAGGGTGGAGGGCATCCATCTTCCGACACTGAGACATAGGGGCTTAGAAGATGGACTGGAGTATTTGTGGTAATCAAGATATATATGGCTTACTGGTGTAGTCGGGGAGTCTGGTGCTTCTTCTGGTGGGTTTGATGGGGAGACATGATGGGCGGGATGGTTGGTCTTGGCGGAATGTATGAGGAATCTGGGGAAGAAGCTTGGCTAATGCTGGGCAGGAACGAGCTCAGTTTATACCACAGCATGCCGTAGACAATAGCCTGACGTGAGGTGAACTTGCATCATGATGATGCTGTAAAGACAGGGCAGTGGCACAAGAAGTGGGTCATGTTTGCGACGCAGCAGTAGGCACTGGGCTGAATCTGAAATGGTGGAGAGAACGAGTGATGTCATGGAAGTCAACTTCCGATGATCGCCGGTCCTTGCACCCAACCACAATCCTATGCTGGATTTCTAGACCTCGCTTGACAGTCTGGTCTTTCTTTTTTCTTTCTTTGTTTGTTTGTTTGTTTAGATGCTAGAAAATGCGCTAGTCTTGGTCAGAGGTATGTCGTCGTTGCAAGGAAATTCAATTGCAGGGAGGTTGAAGAGGATTCTAATGTACTGTTCGTAATATCCCGGGCGTGGTCACGGGACTATTTAGATGCTCCTGCTCATCATGGATCTAGAGTTCGATAACTTATTCTTGGTTCTGTCTGAGCTGCCCACCTACTCTTATCACCTATAGTCGTGCCATTCTATCCAATTTCATCGTCTCCGACTTCATTTGTCCCATCGCCCACCTCATAATGATTTGCACAACGGCGCCGATTTGCTCCTCAGTGTTATCAGCATGTACCATGAGTCGCACGCGGTCCAGGTTCCTCGGCACAATCGGATAATCGACTGCGTTGACCCAGAATTTAGCCTGCTGTAGGGGCTTCGCCAGGCTGCGCGCCTTGCCCGGTTGTGTTACCAGTGCGAATATCGCGGACCTGAATGTCCTAGAGCGCCAGCCTGTCTCGGTTGGAAGTCGAATGATGCCTCTGTCCTTAGCTTCCTCCCACTGTGGGTGGTTTGTCAAGGTCCAGTAGGTAAACTTGATGTTGTGCTGCAGTCGCGCTCGACGCTGTGATAGCGGTAAGCTTCTCTCGTTCCATATATCGATCTGACTCTTAACTAACTCTGTCACCGTCCTTACTTGCCAGCAGCTCATATGCAGCCCTTATAGCGACAACCGTCACAAAGCTAGGGGCTGTTGTGAATAGGACATTGCCGGAATAATTCAGCAAGGTTTGCTTGATCGTGTCGTTACATAAAACGACACCTTTAGATAATTAGCCGACGCGTTGCAGATGAAGCTAGGACTCTTACCTCCTGATGCCCCGAGGGCTTTACCACAAGTCTGGACCCTGATAATGAACTCTTTTTCCAAGCCATATTGAGCAATCAAGCCTGATCCATTAGGCCCAACGAGTCCGTTGGAATGGGCTTCGTCGATAACAAGCACATAATTGCCCAGGGGAAGTGATTCAGATGCTATTTGAATGATCTCATGGATGGGAGCCTCGTCTCCATCCATGCTGTAGACTGATTCAAAGCAGACAAACACCACTTGCTTGCCCTCTGCGATGCCGTGGTTCCGCTCTCGGGCGTTCTCGAGACAACTCCGGAGAGAGGCACAGTCGTTGTGCACAAATGGCACAGCCTTAGCGCGCCCATTCTTCATTCCCTGACGGGCACAGGCATGCATAAGTTCATCGAAGATGACGATGTCCCCAGGCTGCGAGATCACAGACCAAATGGCCACATTTGCGTCAAACCCTGAGCCGAATACCATTGCATTCTCAGCATTGTAGAATGTAGCCAGGTCACGCTCAATATCTTCAAGATACTGTCTGAGACCCTCGAAGATGCGGGTGCTGCTGCTCCCGACTGTGAAATCTGGATGTTTCTCAAGCTGGTGCAAAAAGGCTCGACTCAAAGCGCCGGAACCTGACAAGGATAGGGTATCGTTGGATCCGAAGTCGATGGTGCCTTGCACTTCGCTTGGGGAAGCTGGTTGAATCAGCCTCCCCTCACGCTGGCGCTGGTCCAAGGCCAGTCGGAGTTTGCGATCGAGAATCTTCGGTCCCAGAGCCATATTGTGGAGAGTTCATAAAGATCCAGATTGGTGTTTGCGAGTGTCAATCTGCTTCTCTGCCTGCTTTCGTTGAGCCTATATACTTGTGGGGTTATGCCACTACTGAGCTCGCCTTCAAGGCGTGCGATTTATTCCTAAAGCAACCTGCCCGCATCGCAAAATCTGCCAACTTCCATTGATTGATATCCGGCTTTCTCATTCAAAATCCGGTATTATACTTGCGAATTCCCGGTTGAGAGGTCCAGCATCTCATGTGATGATATCAATGGACTATCTTTTTTCAATGTCAGCCCTTGTATTCGCGCTGGTACATCCTGCTGTTGTCAAAACATCATCGAGAAGTATATCAAACTCTCATGCCGATTCATTCGGAGGAGGAACAGTACCATAAGAGCCACCTCAGCCATGGTTCTTCCGGATCTAATTGTCAGCCAAGCCGCGTGGCTTACCTCTAGCGAACATGCCAATCATCTCCGACAGCTTGTCACCAAGTATGGCGATACTACGATAGTCTACTGCGCGGATATGGCTGTCAATCAAATGGATGGGCGCTCTGGCCGTTTCATTATTAACTTAAGTGGAAGACGTCATGTAGCAGATCCACACACTGACCTTGACTGGCCCCATACGGGCCCTCTGAATAGGTTAAACTCAATGGTATGATTTAACTGGAAGGATAGACCTACCCGGTAATTCAGCCATTAGGGACCATGACAGCTACCAACCACTACAAGTCGAGTGTTCATTGAATTATCTTGTCTTTTGAAATCGAGTTACCTCACGCTCTCATCAAGTTAAAAGCCATGTCCCATCTGGTTTCAGGCAGTGAAAACGTCAGAGACTAAACCTTCAGTTGGACTCTGAACAGATGCCTTGGGGGTTGCTGGTCATGACACTTGGCTCCGCCTTTCCATCAAATGAAACGGCTACGCCAGGGAGCTTGGAACCTTGCACCAGAAGCAGAAAACCCCGCGAGTTGTTAAGCAGTTTTCCGATGGGGCTGTTCTCCTCATTCTCTGGTAGCTGAACGCACAAGTCGGCTCGGGTCCCAGAAGCCAGCTGCATCTGCAAGTGTACATGTAGCGTTGACTTCCAGTGGAAGAACTCTATCTAGTTTATACACGAAGCGGAAAGCTCGAAACTCTCGGCTATTTCATCCATGACAGGTCACATGTCTGTTTTTGTCATGATCGACCTTCCGAGGATGGGTATTCCTGACATGACAAGAGGTTGTACAGATACATGCGTCCGAGGATATATATGTCGATGCGCATACAGTATGCAGAAGAACGGCAACAAACAAAACAAACAGGACATGAGTAGATATGATACTCATATTTACTATGAGTGTGTACATATGTAAATAGAAATTACTCATCACTGCATGCACACCACATATATGTTGTGTACTGTACTCCGTACCAGTCCGGCAGCGCAGGCACAGGCACGTTCCCGAACTTTCCGCAGACACTGCGATTTGGTTCCGACTGTTGATGATGTCAGTGGCAGTGATTAATTGACTAACGCAAATAGGCCGGTGGGTGGTGAAAAAGTCCCAGTCCAGCCAGTGCTGAGTAAGATTAATTCTATTTCAAGGGCTGGTTAGTTTAGCTTGCAGTCTTGCACTACGAATAATACGGGACTGATATGGATCCCGGGTGGGGCAAAGACCCAAGCATGGCAGCAAACAACAACCAACAGGGCAGTCCAACAGGGCAGTCCAACAGGGCAGTCACAAACTAACATCCGACTTTCCACTTGAACCACTTTCTGTTTTCATCCAAGCCATTCAATTCAACGGCACCGGGCCACAGGGCACAAGACCAAGGGACTGCCAGACTGCCAGCCCACTTTGACCCGTGGCATGCTCCAAATTCCAAAGCAGAAACTTTCAGAAATTCAGAGACTTCTTCCGGACCCTGAGAATCTATTGCCCGCGCCCTCAATGAATGGTCAGTGTTACAGTGAGGTGGGGCGGGCAAGTCGCGGGATGCCGAAGGATGGAACTTCCTTTCCATCTTTCCCACACAATCACACCCTGTCCATTCACCCTTCGACCCCCCACCCCACAGGAACCCGATCCAAAATCTGCACTTGCTGTTCCTTCCGTACCTTGCGACGCGACTGCGTACGTACGTATCTATGCACGGTTGCCCACTGCCACTGTTTTCAACCAGTACTAAATCTACCAGGGGGCAAAAGAGGCACCACTATTCGCAATTCTCGCGCGGACTCACGATGGCCCATATACAATAATAGCGCAGTGGCAAATAGCCTGAATTATCGCAGAGGCGCTTCAACACGACAATGTTGCGCCTCACATTGTGAGTGTGTGAGGAACACGAGGTCTTTCACCCGGCCAAGCAAGACAAGAGTTTTAGCCTAGACAAGCATCATGAGACGATATGCTTTGCAGTATCGGTCACAGGGGAAACGGTTCGTGACAAGGCATCGAAATGGCCGTTTCATGCCAATGTCACCATACTCAGAACAGCTTCACACATGTCTCGCTTTCTCGGCCCATCCCAATCTCCCAGCGAGCTGTCAACCCAGCAGTCATTTATTTGACCAGTCAACGGCGGTTCCAGACTGACACGGGAATAATTAATGCTCGACGTACGTAGTAGATCCTAGAGTCTTATACTTCTTGCCTATAGGGTCGGTGACGACGCTTATCTTGAGAATCCAGATACGGCGAATGGAACCTGTGCGGGCTCAAAACCGACCGGGTTTTGGATAACAACCCAGACTGGTCGACAAGCGACATGAGTGGATATTGATACAGACAGAACTTTTTGCATGAGGATTTTACTGGTTTTGATTTATCTGGTTGGACCGAATGCTGGGTTGAATTGATAGCGGGACTCTCTCCCAGTCCCTCCAGCCCTCCTCCCCCTCCATCAGCACAAGAAGTGAGAGCGAGAAAGTGGGAAACCAAAACCAAGTCCCCATCAGAAGAAACACATTTGTCTCAATTCACCCAATCATGAAATCCTGATATGACGTTTCTTAATTTAGCCACCCATCATGGGCGAAAGTGAGATGGATGTCTTGGATTGCCCACCTCACCGCGGCCCTACTGCGGGTCGGTGGTTTCGGATGTCTCATGTCGCCTCGTCGAACAATAATGCGGCCGTCGTCATAGTAGGAGAGGCACCGCTCCAGCAAAACCACTCCAGCTGCGCTCCATTTTTCTCCCCCATCTCGCCCGCTTGATAGGATTTCTCCCCTGCTGCCATAATCCATCATAATCCTTGTTGTGTTGCTGTTGGTTTAATCGACAAGTCACTCGTTTTGTTCGTCTTTTATTCCTCCCTCATATCAACTCTCTACTGGTTTATACTTCCCGCCGTTCGTTCGCTTCCCCGGAGTCAGGGCATGTAGGACAATTTCAGTGTTATTCTTATCTTTTTTTGAGTCGCGCAGTTATCGGTGCAGACCACTTTCTTGATGTTCGTCCCGGCAATGCAGCGCTCGGCGATTCTGATCCTATCGTTGCTGAGCATCACTGCATTCGGCTGGCCGTACGATGAATCGCTCGTTGACTACAACTTGAATGAAAACAAATCAGCAGAACACCCAATCAATTACTGGGGAGAATGGTCGGGTCACGACTACCATCCCTCGCCAGATAACTGGCGCTTTCCCGTCTATACGATTTTCCTGGACCGCATCGCGAACGGTGATCCCGCAAACGATGACATTAACGGAACAACCTTCGAACATGTATTGAACTCGAATCAAATGCGCCATGGCGGCGACTTGGTCGGCTTGATTGATTCGCTGGACTACATCCGGGGTATGGGGTTCAAGGTATGGGAAACCACAGACCTCTGATACCGTGTGACATTGCTGACCGGGCAGGCTATCTACTTCGCTGGAACCGCCCTGATGAACCTTCCTTGGGCCTACGATGGCTATTCCCCAGTTGATACCACTCTTCTCGACATGCACCATGGCACACTCGAGGACTGGAGACGGACCGTTACCGAGATCCATGACCGTGACATGTATGTGATTATGGACAATACGCTTGCAACGTGAGTATCACCCTCGAGACCCCTCGACCCCTCGCATTCAAGATATGTCACTCACGTTTCGCAGCTTGAGCAACTTGATCGGTTTCAAAGGCCATCTCAACGACTCGGCCGATTTCAACCCGAAAGAGTACGAAGTCGAGTATATCTCAGAGAGACAATACGCGGACTTTAAATTCGGAAACGACTACAATGAGACTTGCAATTACCCAAGGTTCTGGAACGAAACTGGATATCCATTGACTAGCGGAGGTGTCGAGGATTTGAAAGGCTGCTACAACAGCGACTTTGACCAGTACGGAGAATTGGAGGCGTTTGGTAACTTCCCTGACTGGAAGCGCCAACTCACCAAATTCGCCTCGGTGCAGGACCGTCTCAGAGAATGGCACAAACCCATCCGCGACGTCATCACCCAGCATTCCTGCATTGTGATCGCGAGTCTCGATATTGACGGATTTCGATTCGATAAAGCTGTACAGTCGACCCTAGATGCACTCGGTGACATGACTGCTGTATATCGTGAATGTGCGAAGAAATATGGGAAGAAGAATTTCTTCCTCCCTGGTGAAATCACGTCCGGAAATACCTTCGGTAGTCTCTATCTCGGCCGTGGCCGTCAGCCTGACCAGACACCAGACTCAGCAGGAGCCGCCGTCAAATTGACGAATACTTCGGATGAGTACTTTCTTCGAGACGATGGGCTTCAAGCACTCGATGCCGCTGCCTTTCACTACACGATTTACCGGTCGATGACTCGTTTCCTCGGCATGGACGGTAACTTGGTCGCCGGTTTCGACTTGCCCACGGATTTTATTGAGGCTTGGAACGGCATGTTGGTGACTAACGACATGATCAACGCGATTACAGGCGAGCTCGACCCGCGACACATGTACGGAGTCTCTAACCAGGACAACTTCCGCTGGCCCGCTATCAAAAATGGCACGGACAAGTATCTCCTAGGTTTGTACATTGTCACA